CGTTGTGTCGGTTCTGGGCTACATTGTACCAAATCTTCCAAATCTGCGATGAACCGTTCCGGACCAATCTACCAAATCTACGAGGACGAGAACGGTTCCCGTTGCCCGATCGGCCGATCGGTTCGTTGCTTCACGTTTCAACGCACCGCACGGAACGAACTGTCATGATGTTTGATAGGAGTTGGGACACTCAGCACTGCTCTCTGTCTTGCCTCTCGGCTAGGGTAGCTAGGATGGCCACACAACCACAAGATTACCCAAGCCATGGCGAGTGGTGTGTGCGATGGTGGTGATGAGATGGTTGTGGTGAGGTGGCTCTCCCCCCGTTCGAGATTGTTGAACGCATCGATTCTTCGCGGAATGTTCTCATCCACTTGCGGGAAATCGCGACCAGACGCCGTTCTTGGCGACGCCCACGCATATCCTGCACACATCTTTCCTCGATTAGCACAATGCAGCAATCCCAGGCGTTGTTGGCCAACCCATCAAGCATCCCCCCAGTTATCCAGGTAGTTCCCCGACGACGTGAATGTGGTTCTCCGGGAGCTTCACAAGCGGTGAGTGAATACGGCCCTGCTGTAGTTGGTGGTGTCATTACAGAAGTAGCTGGGTTCACGCAGCGGTGAGTGCTGACCCTGCTCGTCTGTCTTGTAGACCCCGCCTGCGTTTCTTTACGCTTTTCGCAGCAATGAGCGTAAGGACGCAAGGGGGGTACTTTTTTGCTGGGCCGAGAGAGGGTGCGTGAAGACTTGTGGGCGCGCGTTTGCTGCACCGCACAACGAGTTCCCACGAAAAAGAAGAACAAAAATTGTTCCACACACTGATGATGTGGCCACGCTGTCTGGTGCTCTCAACGAACAAGTGCCAAGCTCATTTTGCGGGCGGTAGGATATTGCTCTAGTACAAACCGCGGGCTCATAGGCCGGTAAGGAAGCAAATACATACATCCACCAACGAACGGTAGGGTATTCCGCGGGGATGGACGTACTACTGCTATATGAAAATGTTTTTCGAATAAGGGGAGATCATGTTGCTTGTTCAAGTGGTCTCATACTCTGGATAGTGCCGGGTGCCCGCTATTGACCATGTATATGCATGTTAATATGCGTTGGCGGCAAAATCTCTTGGCGATGTGCGGCCTTACACAGGGACCACTATATTCCGTAAATACAATAATTTGCTCTCCCACAGTCTGCCTGGATACAGCGACGTAGATCATGGTTAGCACACCATTCGTATTTGAGCATATGTTTGGCGGTTGCAAGGAATATGGTGTGCCTTTGCGTGTCCGTCCTTCATGACGGCAGTAGGATGAGTGAATGCAAGTTGTTCTCCATTTTCTCTTCGTATACCCTCGTGTTCGATATGCTGTAATTGAAGTTATGATGCTATATTAAGTCAACTGCCAAAAAGGTTTTCTTTTTCGGTAAGAGAGACCTCATTGCCGAAACGGCCTACGCTTGCCCTTATCGAACCACTCATCATCATACAAATGAAATCTCACCACCGGGTTTCTCATAATGTCACCCCCCCCCCCCCCCCCCGCTGATCATGTCGACTGTGCTGTGTTCCGTACTGCAGACTCGAAGGGCGACCGCTGCTATCCTCGTCCTCCACATCGTTCTCCTGGTCGTGAACTCTTTCTCATGGAGTGAGTACATGAGGGCCTAACGGTACACGACTATGTGCACTGATGCAAAAGACCGTGTGTTCCGACGACACAAGGGGCGCGTCAGAATTAGTTTCGCACCCGCCGGTTTCAGGTTTGTGTACCATAGTTTAAAAAAGAGGAGGGCGGAAGTGTTCATTGGCCAGTACAATCCAAAAGTACTTCCAGCAAGTCAAGGACGAATGTGTACAATACAGACAATAAACAGGGTAGGTTAGGATGCCACTCCTTTCTTACGGCATCTGTCCCCCCCCAAGACCCCATCCCGACCTACCTCTCCTCGTACCCGCCCCTTACCACCTCCTGTGGCAGGCCAACTGGCTTCCTGTCTGATGGGTATCGTTATGGGCAGCGCGGTGCTGTGCATGTTCAACAAGAACTTGTACGTCATCGCTGCCGGTGTCTTTGCCGCGGGTAGTGCCCTCGACTTGTGGCAAGTGGTGCGATGGTAAGTGGCAGAGGTTGACGCGAAGGCAACCGCTGGGCTTTCGAAAAGACAGTCAACAGGCCAGATAGAGCAGTTTGGTTATGAAGAGGGAAAAGATAGTCCTTGCATCCCTCAGATCTCTCCCAGCACGCTCACACAACAACGCTTGTTCGAGACCGGTTGGTTGTCTGGTCACCGGTCGAAAACATGATGTCGAGCTACTGCTGCATCGCTCCCCGCTTCACCCCGCCCTTAACCCGATCGTCGAGAACCCCACGTGCTCTGCGGGTTCAAATTTCTGCGATGTGAGCAGTCCGTTCCGTGACATGTTGACCCCCCCCTCCCCCGCACACCGCCTCCGCGTCACCTCCGCAGGGTGGGCTTGGCGTTGATGCTTCACAGGAACAACCAGATGCGCGACGACGATGACGAGGTACCGACGGTGCTCCTGGGCGTGGTGATCGTGCCCGCTGTGCTGGGAGCCGCCTCCTTTGCCTTCGGCTGTGTCTCGGCCTTCGACGATGCCTTCAGTGGACTCCCCCGGCACGAGCGCGACAACGGTTCTCGTGACGCGTTGCCTACCTACGTGGACGGGTTGTGACAGCTCGGGCGCGGCCGGTAACTGCTGTGATTGGCTCGTGGTGGGCTGTAAAACGCTTCCCGCCACGAAATGGTTGCTTCTGGGAAACTACTGCTGTATGCGTGTACTGTTCGGTCGTCTTGTAGTGCTTTGTGGAACGACGGAACGTCCGATCCAACAGGAGGAGAAGGACGAGGGCTTCAGCTGGTCCAGTTCGTTACTCTTTGCTATGTATCTAGGCGAAGGAGTCGTTTCGTTTGCTTCCCCTCTCGCTTCACTGTTTGTGCAGCGTGTGATTCAATACCCATCGTTCACCTTCCTCACACTACACTACTATATCAGTTCTGCTGTCTCTAATTCAGCAACAAGTCGATGGGGGTCCGGGGGCGATAGAAAATAGAATGAAGCCATATCGGGGGCGATTTCTGAACACAAGATAACAACAAGAACCCGTCAGAAACGTAAGGCGTTAGTACTTCCGGTAAGGCAAATGCCACAACCAGGCGTGTTGTGTTGCAGTGCATCTAGCGAGCAGGGGAGACGATTCATCGTGGACAAACACCCCCGTGGACGGTTTCACGCCTTCCATCAATAAAGTGGTTATAGAATATCTGCCTATCGTTCGTCTGAGCTTGTTGTCGCGCACAATGCCTCCCTGACCCTTGCTGTACGGGTGGTCCCGTCTGGGCTCGGCGAGAGCACCCTGTGCTTGGATAGAGGGGTCTTTGGAATGTGAACGACTGATGGGCTGATGATGTCTCTTGCTCCTTCATTGCCCCTCCCGCCTCTTCTCAAGCAGGTTACGAAGACTGCCGCCGTCTCATCCCTTGGGGTCTCAGTGAGTGCCCCTAAACAGCAGGTCTTTGTACGACATCACTCCCCCCCCCGCAACATGGGAGACGATTCAGAGCTCCGTTCCGAACGAAGTTGCTCCATGAGAATTTCGGGGAGGCGTTCACCACCTGACAAAAACACACCGGGGTATGGTACACAAGTGTGGGGTTGCGTGTGCGTGCAATTTGACTTCCAACAATCGAGGTGGGAACGAAGCTGTCTTGCGGACCCCGCACCCCCCATCCTTTCTGCAATATAGACATGTGCAGAGCAATAAAGAATCTTCTGGGAAAGCGAGGGTGGGTGACATCGCATGTGCTTCTGAGGCTTCGAACGCTATTGTAACGCTCGTGGCGATGGTTGCAGATTAAGTATGATTTTGAATGCAATAACACGACGGTATGAAAAATTGTCTTGGAAAGTGTGACAGGTTGGATTCCATGTAAATATGGTAGAAAACAGTAGCAGTAGGCTTAGACGGAGGGTTAGGGATACGGTCACCCCGACCGACGTGTAAAGAAAAAACGGGAGGAGAGAGCGTAAAAAGAACAGGGGAGAGAGAGAGAGAGAGAGAGAGAGGTACAGGGACAGACAGAGACAGAGAGAGCACAGGTAGGTTTGATCAAGCTTCTCTCGTGTTTGTGCCACTCGTGGTCATTGTCAGGGCAGCCGTGGCGAAAGGCTGCTCTTGTTTCACGGTTTGTCCGTCCTTGGAATGCTCTTACACGCACCGCAGAAATTTCCCTAACAAAACGCAACTGAATGTTGATCGTTGTGCTGTGAATGGGGGTGTTGAAATGAATACAGGTAGAGGATGTTCGATTCGAAGAAGGACGCAAAGTGGATATCGGGGATCGGCCAGTAAACCCCTCGAATTCCGCTGGCTCATGAACGCCGTCTATTTTGTATTGCCCACCAAGCTGTTTGTCATCGGGCGAAGTAGTCTTAAAAAGGGTGAGAAAAATATGTCTAATATCCGACGGCCCGGCAGACAGTAGCGAGAAGAGGCACCGCATTTTTGCCGTACACGACGCGTAGGTGTTTATGCATATACGTACGTAACGTGTGTTGTTTCCTAGGGGAATGATCGGGCGCTCGTCTACCTCGGGATGTCGAGTTTGTTTAGAGAGGCGAAGTGCTCGTGTATTGTGCCCTGCCTGGTAATTAGCTTGCTTTCTCGCCGGCGCCCTTAAGGGTGGTCCAACAATGAGGTGCTTTCGATTACTCATTCAAAAGGCTGACGTCTCCTGTATCGCTTCTGTTTGGATATCTCAACTCATTGTGGATGTCAAGCACTTGTTGTCTCATCACTCTGGTTGATTGAAAAGACAGGACTCGCCCCGAGACTCCCTTACCCATGTGCACCGCCTCGGAAGATAGCTGAAACGAGGGGGGGAACATCTCTCAACCTGCGGTCTACTGTGGTTGTGTGCGTTGTTCTGGGTTCTCTTTGAAGAGATTTCCTCCGTCTTTGGACGGTTTTGTGCACAGCCGTGCAGAAAAATTTTTAAGTGTGGTTCAGCGTTTCGGCGGAGAGGAACGCCTTGGACATGGGTTTAGCATCGTCGCCGTGCCGCCATTAGCGGTTTTGTTCAAATAGGGAATTGCAGGAGCTGCAATTTTCTGGGATGTAGAATCATCCTGGGATGAGTTTAGACGCCCCCCCTGGATCGGACGGTGGAGGGGGGGGGGTGTTCGTTGCTTGAAGTGGATCAATTAAAACATAGAGCCATCAAAGCAAAGCTTATTACTCACGTCGAGCAAGCTGAAGGACCTGACCAACCACGCAAAAACTGCGGAGCTAGATGTGCGGCACGCACAATGCGTTGTTTTCGATTGGAGAGAGGCGAGTACAAAGCAGTAAGGAATTGTTGGCCAAACTTTCGGCAGGTAGGTCTACTCGGGAGCGTAAGTGGGGTAGCAACCCATGGTGGAGCGTACATGAGAAGCTGGACGTTGGTGTACGCTCCATCCCGGCGTGAGTAGGATCTTAGGCTATGCAAGTCGTCCCTGAACTTATTGTGGTGGACATGACCTCCCAGGAGGAAAGTAGCTTGTACCGCGGGACTTCGGAGATGATAAATTGGGTGGTCGGGGGACGTCTGGGTGTTTACTAAGCAGAACGCCCGGCACAAGACTGGGGTACTTGTGCCAGGAGGTGTGAACTTGGATCTAGACTTTGAGCCTATGTTGGAGGTGCTATTTAGCGTCGGTGAGCCGGCAAAAGAACTGAAAGGAACCACAACCCCCACCGGACGCTCGGATTGGGAAGGCCGAGTATTCCGTATACCTACCTGAAAAAACACGAAAAACAAGTGGCCACGGTCCAGTTGCTGTAGAGATCATGAGGATGGTGAAGAAGCCGGGAGGATGGAAGCAGAAACTGTGGAAGGGAGACAGGTTGGAGCTGCTGCTGTTTGGGATTCCAAGGGGCATGACGAGGATAGAGTTCAAGAACTGTTGTGACAGGGGGGGACTGCACTGCCTAGCAAGGGGAGAAGTAGGCAGAGAGCATGAACATTTCCGGGTGAGATTGACCAAGGGAGACAGCCAAGAGTGCTTGGGGGTTGACATCGAGAAGCTGTCGAACTACGTAAGGAAGTTTGGATGGAGGGTTTGCGTCGCGAACATGATAGAAACAGAGAAAGTAAGGAGACAAGAGGCGAGGGCGATGGAGGCGAAGAAGGGACCGGGCGGGGGAGGCGAGCAGGCAAGTCAGAAGAACGCCGAGAAGAAGCGGAGTGCGAACGATAGAGTGCGCAAAATCTCCAATAGGGAAAAGCACAAGTTGAGAGTTGGGTCGTGGAACGTGTGCGGGTTCGCAAGGAGTGAGCGCAAGTGGTTGGAAATAGTGGACCAAGTAGAACAAAGCGATCTAGATGTAGTGGGGATCCAAGAGACGTGGGAACTGAAGGGTGGGGACGTGGTAAGCAAACTAGGGAAATACCGGTGGGTAGGTAAGGCAAGAAAGGGCTTAGACCCGAAGAAAAGGGGGGAGGGGGGAGTCGGATTCCTGGTCAAGGAACACTTGTTTGACGTGGTGGAAGTAGTGGTGAAAACGGAGTTTGAGGAAAGCCTATGGCTTAAGATACCTGGGGAGCGGGGTGAGAAAGATGTGTTTCTGGGGAACGTATACGTCCCACCGTCGTCGAAGAAAGTCGCAAGCAAGGCACAGGAGAACTTTGGACAAATTGGGGACGATGTCCAGAGGCTCAGTATAGGAAGGAAGAAGTTGTCATGGTGGGCGATTTCAACTCCAGAGTAGGGAAAGCTTCCAGTAGAGGACAGGCGATCGGGCAGCACGGAGAAGACAAAGTGAATGACAATGTAGTGAGGATGCTTGAGTTCTTGGGAAGCAACGAGCTGATGGTGTTGAATGGTAGGAGGAAATGCGATAAGCCGGAGTTCACCCGGCAAAGGGCAGTTTGCAATGAATACTC